TGACTCTAACGCCTCGTGCGATTTACGTTTGGAGGGGATGGAATATAATGTTGATTTTACCTGTACACTCGATGATGTTTTGAGTTCAAGTGTGTCACACTCGTCCTGGGAAGTAAGCTACCTTTGACGAAGTTGGTCAAACCTGGTCTTTTCTGGTTGTTAATCGTTAGTTTTATCTATTGAGAATCATAGCAATCAAATAAGCGCTTCCGCACCTTAAGCCATTTGCGTAGATACAATTCGTCTCCGCGGCGGTTTACAAAGTTTCTGAAGTCATTTTCATTCTGCCCCGACGAATGAAACTTGACATACGCATTGATGTAGGTTTTGTTGACTTCCTTCCACATTGACAACAACTTCTTGGGCAGCGTTGTCTTTTTTGGCATCTTAGGGTTGATTCTGACAAGAAATATTCGTCATTAAACGCCAACCTATTTCGTCCATGGTCCTCAGGACACTCATCAACAAAAGCAGCTTCAATTTCGGACCAAAATTCACCCCTTTCATTAATGCTTTACCGTCCAGATCTGCTCGTGTAGCCGTATCATTAGTTTATTACCTGTAAATTGAAATAGTAAATTTGGTGCCGGTTCTACAAAAGTGCAGTGAAAGCTCATCACTAAAGAGTACGTTCGACAAGCGAAACATACAATATTTTAACGAATTGCATTTCCTTGTGGGGCTACCTGTTGGAGATCATCTCCCGGCGGCCTCTCGCACTATGCCGTGATAGCCACGTCGAGCCGTTTCAGCGCCTCAGTGCGCTCCTCCTTGCGCATCGATGTTTTGAGTCGTAGCCCTCTACGGGTACATCCTTCCGGATATCTTTCGCGAGCCATGTTTCGTAATTCTGGGGCTCTGTCTCGGAAGAGTCTTTGCTTTGAGCGGGTGTGGCTATCAATATATCTGATTGATGGGTTTTATTAGAGCTCCCTAATAGAAGACTCTCCTCTGAACTGTTGAAGGCTTCCATAAGGAAGTCAGCAAAGTCATGCGTTGCGTGTGGACTAAAAGTGCTAACACCCTAATAGAGGCTTCACAACCGGGGCCTGTCTCACGGGAAAGCAATACCGACGCGTTATCAGGGTTTTGCGAGCCTATATATTGGTAACCAGCGTGAGAAGAACTATTCAGAGGTGGAAGAAGTGGAGGCTGACCATTTTGGTCCGGGTTTAACGGTTGAGTTCTCGTGGAGTAGGCATCCGGTTTGCCTTGAGACCATATCAGAATCTATTATATGCCAGGTACAGCCACATCACTATGATAAGCCCACAAAACATTCTATCATCGATTTCTTACTCTCCAGAAGATGCTAGAGCTTCTTGCGCACCGCCGGTTCAATAACTGGAATTGGTAACGTCCAATCGTAGCCTTATTTAAATTAAGGCCAGATTTGGACGCACAAGTCGTTCTCAACCGATGCGGCCGCAGCGTAAAGAATCGTACGATGCGGTGCGGCCGGACAGTCCGGTTGAGACTGGGCCCAATTAGAGTGAACGGTGTATACATGCCCGTCTTTTTAGCACCGACAGCTCTTTGAGCTGCGAATATCCGACAGTTTGCACTTAAGCTCGAGCGTAGTACCTTCCTTACAAACGCTAAGTAGTTTAGCCACATCTATTCGCCGACTCTGCGACAAACCATGTCGTACTTAACAAAATTTAGTCGTTTTTTTAAACAACTGCGTTGGCCAATTATACATTGGTGCAACATTTTGTATAAAAGACCACAACCACATTCGAAAAACAAACCCATACTGAGATATTAATTACCTTCAGATAGGCTGCTAGCAGTCGACATTCCGATACCCGAAGCAGGTATCCGAACTCGGAGAAGCAACTAACATCAATATAGTATCAGCAATACCGGTACCTGAATGTAGACTCCGTGTTAGCCCTTTTGCCGATGATATTCACTGTAGTAACAATAAGTCAAAAAGATTCAAGCCACTTTAAGCGGCGATCCAATTACCGCAAAATCAAACAAGCATTGGTATTTTTTTAACTTCTATCTTTGGGTCGCTGTGTACCACCTTTTATTGTTATATTGAAGCCGTTGGACCCGAAATACTTTTTCTTACAAAATCCAAGCTACAATTTGTGTACACCTTTTCAACTTTTAAATGGCAAAAATATGTATATTAGACCCCGGCTTTATCCTAGATCTAATTTGCAGGGGCCATTTTGGGCACCCTTTTATTTTCGTCCCCGTACTCCGTATCCTCTAAATACAATTAATGCGTGCTGAAGCCGTAGTCAGACCAGAAATACATTTCTGGCTATTTCTAAATGTACACTTTGTCAGAGTACAGCCAAAAGATGGATGACAGTGTTCTCAAGACACTAACTTGTTGTCACACACCTCCAACAATGAAGTTGGATATCTCGTATGGATTATAACTTCACTAAATTTGTGCCTGTTGGCTGTACCGGTACCATTAATGAAAAGTCGTGGATGATTAGCTACATCATTGTTGATGGAGTTCTACCATTAATGAAAAGACGTGGATGATTAGCTAAATCATTGTTGATGGAGTTCTCCAGATTGCGGCAGGTGGCGCCACATGTATTATGATGCTGTTTACATTGAGAGTGATCGCCGCCCGGTATCAAAGGGGTAACAAATAGTGTAATGTACCCCTCATTTGGTTTACTATGAGATGCTCACGTTTTAAAATGATTTCAATCATTTAGTTAATTTAATAGCTTAATCTTAGTACCGGTACAGTACATTCGGACATGATTACGTCGAAGACAGAGCTGATCCGTGCAAAGCCTGGACAGTGTCCAGAAAGAAAGAATAATTGGACGGTCATCACGATCTGTTCGAGCCAAGAAGACTCAAGGTAGGAGCGCATTTTCCAATTTTTGGCTTAAGTGCAGTGCCCCCCCCCCCCTGCAGATAGTAAAATCAAGTTATTTTCTTCCAATTATCTAGGATGCGGGTGGCCTTCTTCGTCGTTGCTGCATGCGCTCTCGTTGCTGGTGTTGCGAAAGCAATGGAAGACGTTGCGTTGGGTAAAACGCAGTTAATGAGAAAAACTGCCCCCGATGCCGCTTACCCAGAGCAGAGCAACGTAAACAGATCTCCGAGAACTCACCAGACAGAAGAAGATCTGTACGAAGAGGATGGAGAGAGGGCCATCGTTCCACTCGGGCACTTGAGTCGTGTTACTCAACACGAAAAACAAGCTATTATCCAGAAATTACGAAAGGTTCAAGACGCCCGCGAGCAACAAGAACAGCTACTGCGGAATCGTAAAGGACTTGCCGAACTTCTGCCTGTCGACTTCTTGCATCTCACCAATAATCAACGTGAAGCACTGCAACAACTGCAGCTCAGAGGCACCAATCGGCTACCTATCGACACGTCGAAAGTTTTGAAAATTGAACTCGAAGCATTGTTGCAACACCAACACAAATTTCATGCTAAAACGTCCAACAACGTTTAGACGTCTGTATGCTCTGGGGCACAACCTAGTTCTCTTTAAGTACTACTAATAGTTGGTTGTACTAATTAAGAAAGTGTTTTCCTGAGGGTGCACAGTGCTCATAATAAATTGGACGTTATTCTTGGGGCCTAACAAAGAATCTCGTAATTAAATTTTGTAACTAATGCCGTGTTTCACACGGGGAAGCTCTGGATTCTACGCGTAAAACACTCGAATAACCATGCGAGCTGAATAGTCGTGCACCGTAGACGAGTGGCTTTAACAAGAATCAAAATCTAGAGGCCAGTGTACTTAGTAAATAGTCGTGACAAATTTAGGGTGAAATAATATCTAAAATTATATTGAATCGTCGTTTAACAATTGAAACTCTCTTTGTATGAATTATGTATGAAAATTATAAATTAAATATGAAAATTACTGTGGGGACCGTCTTAGGTAGCAGTCGAAAAAGTTGCAATGTTGGAAATGCTAAAACCTAGCATGTTAGTTGGATCAAAACAATCGAAGCGGTATTTCTACCAACTCGCTATTGTAGAAGAATCACGTGCTTGCAGCTTCTGTCGGGTTTTTTTGGCACAACGAAATGCACACAGCTTCTGATAAATTCTTCACCAACTGGCTTGTTTCAAATCACAGATAGATCATTTTACCCTACTCCTCCAAGCAACATTCATTGGGTGATTGGGTTTTCATGTTACCCGTGGCTGAGTTTGTCCACCGGATTTTTTTTATAAGAGGTCAGCCAAATCTGTTTTTAGTACCAAGTGGTGCATTCATTTACGTATGGGTACAGGCGAAATACCACCTTTTTCTGTGAAATAAGAAATGAAACTAGTGATAACAGGTCAACCAAATTAAAGAAGCCTTAAAAAACATTTTTTTTCAGTATGATTTTATACTTAAGACTCACATAAAAAGTAAGAGGTTTTATTTAGGTTGAGTGCCACTTCCCACATAGTTCTTGGTAATTCTTTAAGAATGGCAAGCAGCTAGACACTGTTTTAGGGATCAAGTATTTAGCTTCGAATGATGCAGTTTTAATACGTGTAAATTGACGCATGCCATCAACTTCTGCTATACGAATCTGCATCCTGTTGCTCCTATCATCTACTTCAACTTTAGTCTCATATTTAATGCACGTTGGCTCTCAAATGCTGTTGGTTGTATTGCCCCGGTCGGACATGTCAGATGAAATGAAAACATGCGAGTGGTATATCCCCATCTCGAACTTTGTAAGAAGGTATACACATTCCGTGTGACTTCGACCCGACATGTTGGAGTGGGGCTTAGAGGACAGACGAAAAAATATAGACCCCCGTACTACTTCACGATAGTTGTCGGTAATCCTCGAGCTCTCATATTTCTAGTAAAGATGTCGATACGGCTTGCACGAAATCTATTAATTATACTGTACCATCGTTTAGCAAGCAGTCGATATTTTACAAAATACTTATCTCGTACTTACGGAATTAACCCAAATAGTCTCTGAATTTTAATCCAGGGATGCCAGGTGATGGGCTATTCAGCAAGGCATGAATGTCTTTTGTAATTAATTAACCAGGTACTGATAAAAGTACCGAAACTCAGTCGTGTTGTCCGAAGATGAAGTGTGCCATAGTTGATCGCGCATGTACGACTCACTCCACATACGGGACACCTTGGACTCGTACGGGTTCCCTATGTAGATAAGAGGCTTAGTACGACGTGCAGCAGCTCCTAGAGCGTCCTCACTAATCTCCGACAAGAGCCTCAACAGCTCCACAATTTCTGCGTAGAAACGAGGTTGTGCCAGTCTGGTGCGTTGATGGCCTCCGATCCAGACACTAAGCATCCGTTCGGGTCCAACATAATCCTCAAACTTGGTCACATGACAGAGCCAGTCGAAGATTCCTTGTCCGGTTAAACGCACCGCACAGAGATCGATGACAGTGAGGTACTTGAGACTCGCAAGAGCAGTCAAAGTACGGTCGGAGAGCTCTTTGACAGCCTGCACATTGAAATTCTGGTAGCCGGACGCGTCTATCATCTCGATGGACTCGAGAAGCGGACAGTGCTCGGCCACTGCTTCCCAGAACTCGTCTCCATACACTGCCGAGTTAACGTAGTGCGTTTGAGGTTTATTGTTCTGGCGGCAATCGATGTCGATCGAGAGGTCAGTTAGAGCAGGACATGCCTGGAATACAGCGCGAGCGTCACTGGCAAAGACGCCATAGCCCGGGGGAGTAGTCACCTCTTCGACCTCAGCTTCAGCGCTACGTCCACTGCAGTCTCGGACATATCGATCGTACCTCCAGCTCATGCCGGCAGAGAGTGACAGCGATTGTAACTTGGGTTTCACGTACTCTCCAAACACGCGGAAGAATGGATCAGCAAAGGGCACGACAAACCAATGGAAGCTCCGCAAGTTGGAGCACTTAGCATTGAACGCTCGCCACGTTTCGAGGGAGATGGTCCACATCTCAGGGTAGTGGACATCTGAGTACGATTTCACTTTCTGGTATCCGTCGAGGTACTCGATCTTTGGACAGAAGGTGGTCACATTCTCAATGTACTTTGTGCTTCCGTGATAGCGGTTCGACTGGCTCCATGATGGAAGTGAAAGTTGCTTCAAGGCTCCAGTGGGATACCATCTCTCCATAGCTGCATACAAGGTCGTCATGGCCTTGTCGATGCTTGGACCGCTCAATGTGCTGCGCTTTTCTAAATTGCGTGGTAGAATCAGGAATTCCAAGTGGCGACAGTGTGACGCTGTAGCCTCCAGGATCTCCGGGGTATGCTTACTCACTAGTGAAATCTTGGTCAAATCGAGTCTCTTTAGACCTGGTACAAACCGGAACAGCTTGTTCCACCGAATTTCTACTTTCTCCGTTGAGTACGGGCTATAGAGTATCCATCTTCATCGTATTCCTCCAATTGAATCACAAACTTGCTATTGTACACTGGTTCGGGCAGTACGCAGACAGGCACGCCCTGCTTCTGTCGCTGTAACCGAAGCCTGAGATCGTCAGCTTAAACCAATCAAGTCCTCCTACAAGAGGCATACTCGAGTTGACGATCTCGAACGAGTCAACGGTACTACCTTCCAGATCGAGAGAAGTCAGCGATCTGGAGGATGACAACGTCACGCCCGATAGTATCTCGATGTCGCAATCGATACACGCACACGCTCCGAGCTGGCCGGGTCCTGGGATAACGAACATCACTTCAACTTTGTATTGCTCGCTTGGAGAAGCTTTGATTGTGGTGGACCACACCATTTACAAGTATCGAATGGTTACGGTTCGAGTGAGGAATATTCAAGCGGATTTGCTGGTATTTATGATAATATAGAGGTAGTTCTACGATTACAAGTCGACAGCTCCAAGACATTGAGCGCAGCTCGCGCGAGCTTCTCAATAGAAGCACGCAGGTTATTGCAACTCGCCGACGCGTGCGGTTCGCGCGTGCAGAGACGCGAAGAGGCATCGAACCGCGAGTTTGCCACCAATCATTTCACGGACGGCGCTCGTTGCGCTTGCAACGCGATTTCGGGAATCAGTTGGAAATCGTCTTCGTCGAGAGCAGAGCACCCCGGGACGGCTGCCTTGACATGCTGCCGTCCTCGCTGCTCGTCCTTTTGCGCTCGCTGTCCTGACTGCGTACTCAGCAAGTCGGTCGCAAGAACCGTCCACATGCCTCAAGCAACTCACACGAGGACAGCGATGTCAAGTTTGAGTGCATCCTCGAATGCTAATCATTGAGATTGCTTCTTACTGTCAGTGAGGCCAAGTCCCCGGTACCAAGCTCTTCCAGTGTGGCCAGCCACTTCACTCAAGCAACACTTGTGGTTCGCTCGTAGCGATGGGTGGCTGGGGTGGGCTTTCACGTGCCTTTTATTATGCTGCTGCTATCTACGTTGCGTCTTCGTGCTGCTGCCACAGTATTATTGTCGTCAAGTGGTTTCTATCTGGTGATCATCAAGCGCCCATGACTGCGACACAACGCCTGACTACTTGCCACCGGACACAAACCTCGTCTGATGTATCTACGTGAGCTGCTGCCATGACACTCGTGGCACATGCTACTACAACCTGGTCGTCTATGGAGCGACGACGTCGCGTCTCCCACCTTCTCCATCCAGTGCCGGTGAAGATGCCAGGATGATACACGCCCAGCTGACCGAGCGCGGAGTGCGGTGCAGTGACTGGAGTAACAGTGGTGTTGCGATCGGCGTCGTACGGTGAAGCTGCGTACTACGGAGTTTGTGAGCAAACAGTCGTCCTGTTTCCGATGACTGGTAATATCTGGCCGTTCTTGCTGCGGACAGAGGTCGCGCAGATCGAGTCCGGCTTGCATGCCACACC